CCAAACATGTCACTGTTGAGCTCCTCAGGCCTGAATCTGGAGGTCTCGACCGGGAGCCTCGTTTGTGAGCGTATCGGGAGGAAGTCTCGAGCGGGAGACCCTCCCTATGGGGTCCCCACTGTCACGTTCGAATCCGAGCGGGGTCATCTAAAACGAGTGCCCCCGTGGGCCCGCACCAACGGTCACACGGGCGAAAGGTCACTCTTACATGTAGTCGGATGTAGTGGGGTGCTCCCGCTGAGCCCACACGGGGGGACACCAGGGCCAGCTGGGTCGGAACGCCAGCAGTGCGGGATTCCTCCCACCATCGAGCAAGGAGAACCGGCGGACGAGGACGAGAAGGAGGAGGAGGAGGAGCACGAGGAGCACGAGGAGGCCGAGGACGAGGAGGACGAGGAGCCGCCCGCAGCCTGGAACTTCGTCGTGGTCCCCGGCGCGCCCGCCACGCCGCCGCCCCCGAAGAGGCCCCCGCCCGCCGCGGGCGCGGCGCCGAAGAGGCCACCGCCCGCGGCCGCAGGCGCGGCGCCGAAGAGGCCTCCTCGAGCGAGGGGGGGGGACGGGATATGCAGTCGGACCTGGTTGGACAGGACACGCGGGAGTACACTTTTTACAAGCGCAAGCGGGCCCCGTGGCGAAACGCAAGGAGGAGAGGGGGAGGAGAGGGGGGAGGGTGAAACCGCCGGCAGCCAGCCCCTGGGCTGCGCCGCATCTGCCTAGTCCGGCGGCCCCGGCCCAGCCTCCAGCCGCCTGCGCAGCGCCGCGCGCCAGCCCGCCTCGCTGCCTCCCGCTCGCACCGCGGGCACCAGCAGGAGCGCCGCTGCGCGAGGCGGCAACGTGCTGGCCCACCCCGGGCAGGGCCGAGCCGCCAGCGCGGACACGCGGGAGGACACAAGACCCTTCCGCGGGCCACGTTGCCACAGGAATGCAGGAGGCATGGGTCGCAAGACACAGGACACGAGGGTACCCTTGATGCGGCAAGGTCGACCTACTAATCCGGGCCGCCTGTCTACAATCGAGGACGGCGAGAAGGTCTGGCTCAAGAAGGGTGATTTCGACGGTCGTGCTGGGGCGCCTCAGGTCGTGCTGGAGTGCCTCAGGTCGGGCTGGAGGGACCTCGAGTCCGGCGAGACCAAGCTTGTGCAACGAACCCCTCTCGCAGCCTCCGATACAAGACAAGGATCAGATCGGACAAGGGTGAATCGGCGGCGAGCGAGGGGGGGAAGTGAGAAGCGGCGGGCCTTCTCAGAAGGCTCGAACATCCCGTGGCCTTCCGACAAGTGTCCTATAAGCCTTCCCGGAAGACACAGACCACTTCTCAGAAGGTGCGAGGGCTTCTGAGAAGTCCCGCCGCCTGCTCAAAAGGCCTTCTCCTTCTCATTTCCCCCCCTCGCTCGCCGCCGAGGTAAATTGGGAACCTCTGAGATCCGGCGGTTCTGAAAGATGTATCCAATGCCGCGGCCTTCTCAGAGCTGTCCAGAACGCCCTGGAACGGATTTGTCCTTGTCCCAGCCCCGGGATCGGACAAGGGTAGAACATCTGAGATCCGGCAGTTCTGGAAGATGTATCGGGTGCCGCGGCCTTCTCAGAGCCTTCCGGAACGCCATGGAACGGATGTATCCTTGTCCCAGCCCCGCCCGAATGCAATCCCACCAGCCCTCTGGGCATAGGCGGTCTAGGGCGTTTCCTCTTCCACACCCTTTCTTACCCTTCGGGGAGGGGTTTCCCCCTCCCCCTCCCCCCTCCCCTGGACATGGACGGAGGGTTTCGCGAGGTGTCGGAGCGTCTAAGATGCCCAAGACGGCTCCAAGAGGGCCTCGGAGAGCCCAAGATGAGCTCCAAGATGGCTCAAGATATCACGAGATGCCTCAAGATGGCTCCCAAGATGCTCCAAGAGGCCCAACGACCGCCCCAAGACAGCTCCAAGTGCAAAAGAGCTCCCCAAGGATGCCCCCAAGGGGTCAACATCCTTCAAAAACCTAAGACAAATTATTCACTGCGTGGGGATCCCCATATGTGCATCTCCTTGCTGGCGCTCCCTTGGTGGTGGGACTCGGTGAGGACGAATCTGGATTTAAGTGTGACTGAGCTGCCTCTCTCTCTCTCTCTCTGCTCTCTCTGTCTCTCTCTCTCTCTCTGCCCTCTCTCTGTCTCTGCCTCTCTTTCCCTGCTCTCTCTCTCTCTCTCTCTGCCTCTCTCTCTCTGCCTCTCTCTCTCTCTCTGCCTCTCTCTCTCTCTGCCTCTATCTCTGCCTCTCTCTCTCTCTCTCTCTCTCTCTCTCTCTCTCCTCTCTCTCTTCTCTCTATTCTCTCTCTCCTCTCTCCTCTCTCTCTCACTCTCCCTCTCTCTCTCTCTCTCGCTCTCTCTCTTCTCTTCGCTTCTCTTCTCTCTCTCTCTCTCTCTTTATCTCTCTCTCTCTCTTTCTCTCTCTATCTCTCTCTCTCTCTCTTCCCTCGCTCTCTCTCTCTCTCTCTTCTCTCTCTCTCTCTCTCTTTCGCTCTCTCGCTCTCTCTTGCTCTCTCTCGCTCTCTGTCGCTCTCTCTCGCTCTCTCTCTCTCTCTCTCTCGCTGTCACTCGCTCTCTCTCGCTCTCTCTCGCTCTCCTCGCTCTCCCCGCTCTCTCTCTCTCTCTCCCTCTCTATCTCTCTGCTCCTCTCTCTCGTGTCTCTCGCTCTCTCTCTCTCTCTATCGCTCTTCTTCTTCTCTTCGCCTCTCTATCTCTCTCTCGCTCTCTCTTCTTCTCTCCTCTCTTCCCTCTCTCCCCCCCTCTCTCTCTCCACTTCTCTATCTCTGCCCCTCTCTCTCTTCTTCTCTCTCTCTCCTATCTCCTCTCTCTCTCTTCTCTCTTCTCTCTATCTCTCGCCTGTCTCCTCTCTCAACTCCCCCTCCCTCTCTCTCTCTCTCTCTTCCGGCTCTCTCTCTCTCTCTCACCTCTCCCTCTCTTCGCTTCCTCTCTTTCTCTCTCTCTCTCTCCTCTCACTCTCTCTCTCTCTCTTCATCGCTCTCTCTCTCTCTCTCGCTCGCTCGCTCGCTCGCTCGCTCTCTCTCTCTCTCTCTCTCTCTCTCTCTCTCTCTCTCTCTCTCTCTCGCTCGCTCGCTCGCTCGCTCGCTCGCTCGCTCGCTCGCTCGCGCTCGCGCTCGCGCTCGCGCTCGCGCGCTCTCTCTCTCTCTCTCTCTCTCGCTCTCTCCCGCTCTCTCTCTCTCTCTCTCTATCTCTCTCTCTCTCTCTCTCTCTCTCCTCTCTGCTCTCTTCGCTACTGGCTTCTGACGGAGTCTGGGTTAGGTGAGCCTGAGTGTGGGTGAGTCTGAGTATGGGTACGTCTGTGTGTGCCTGACTCTGAAGAAATGAATCTGAGTGTGAGTGAGCTTGTGTATGAGTGAGTCTGGGTGCGAGTTTGAATCCCAATGGTGCCCCTGGCAGTGTCTGGCGACTAGGAGGCCCGGGTCGACTCCTCTTTGGGAAGCCAAAATGCTGCCCCTGGCAGCGTTTGGTGACTATGAAACCCCTGGTGGACCCCCCCTGGGGCTCCCAAATGATGCCCCTGGCAGCGTTTTGCGACCGTGAGGCTCTCAAGAGAGACATGTTGGGGAGGCCAAACGGCAATTTTAGCTGAGACGTCCACCAAAATCGGCAGCCAGGGTGGCTCCCCCTTGGGGCTCCCAAGTGATGCCCCTGGCAGCGTTTTGTGACCATGAGGCTCTCAAGAGATACATGTTGGGGAGGCCAACGGCAATTCTAGCTGAGGCGTCCCACCAAAATCGGCGCGAACGGGCTCGTGAGATCAGCCAGGGTGGCTCCCCCTTGGGGCTCCCAAATGATGCCCCTGGCAGCGTTTGCGACCAGACCCAGGAGGCTCTCAAGAGAGACATGTTGGGGAGGCCAAGCCCCGGTCAATTTTAGCTGAGGACGTCCCACCAAAATCGGCGCGAAGGGCTCGTGAGATCAGCCAGGGTGACTCCCCAGTTGGGGCTCCCAAATGATGCACCTGGCGCGTTTTTGGACCATGAGGCTTCTCAAGAGAGACATGTTGGGGAGGCCAAACGGCAATTTGTAGTGAGACGTCCCACCAAAATCGGCGCGAAACGGCTCGTGAGATCAGCAGGGTGGCTCCCACTTGGGGCCCCAAATGATGCCCCTGGCAGCGTTTTTGTGACCATGAGGCTCTCAAGAGATACATGTTGGGGAGGCCAAACGGCAATTCTAGCTGAGGCGTCCCACCAAAATCGGCGCGAACGGGCTCGTGAGATCAGCCAGGGTGGCTCCCCCTTGGGGCTCCCAAATGATGCCCCTGGCAGCGTTTTGTGATCATGAGAGAGTGCGAGTGTGAGTGAATGTGACTGTGAGTGAGTCTGAGTGAGAGCGAGTCTCATCTTATCTTATCGAGTCCTATCTTATCTTACCTTTATTACCCTCTATCTTATCTTATCTTGAAATCTCTTATCTTGTCTTAGCTTTTCTTATATCAACTCATATTATCGCATCATATCTTGTCTTATCTTATTACTCCATAGGCTGTCTTATCATATGTATTATCTTACCTTGTCATATATCTTATATTACCTTGTCATATCTTGTGCTATCTTATCTTATCTTGTAGTATCTTATATTGTCTTGTCTTATCTGGTTATTATCATTGGGAGGAGGGAGGCGCGAGCGGGAGGAAGGAGGAGCAGCGGGAGGCGTCAGAGTAATTATTCACTGCGTGGGGATCCCCATATGTGCATCTCCTTGCTGGCGCTCCCTTGGTGGTGGGACTCGGTGAGGACGAATCTGGATTTAAGTGTGACTGAGCTGTCTCTCTCTCTCTCTCTCTCTCTCTGCTCTCTCTGTCTCTTCTCTCTCTCTCTCTCTTGCCTCTCCCTGCCTCTCTCTCTCTCTCTCTCTCTGCCTCTCTCTCTGCCTCTCTCTTTCTGCCTCTCTCTCTCTCTCTGCCTCTCTCTCTGTGCCTCTCTCTCTGCCTCTATCTCTGCCTCTCTCTCTCTCTCTCTCCCTCTCTCTCTCTCTCTCTCTCTCTCTCTCTCTCCTCTCTCTCTTCTTTCTATTCTCTCTCTGCTCTCTCCTCTCTCTCTCACCCTCCCTCTCTCTCTCTCTCTCTCTCGCTCTCTCTCTTCTCTTCGCTTCTCTTCTCTTCTCTCTCTATATATATCTCTCTCTCTCTTTCTCTCTCTCTCTCTCTCTTCCCTCGCTCTCTCTCTCTCTCTCTATTCTCTCTCTCTCTCTTTCGCTCTCTCGCTCTCTCTTGCTCTCTCTCGCTCTCTCTCGCTCTCTGTCTCTCTCTCTCTCTCTCTCTCTCGCTCTCACTCGCTCTCTCTCGCTCTCTCTCGCTCTCCCTCGCTCTCTCCCGCTCTCTCTCTCTCTCTCTGCTCTCCCTCTCTCTCTCTCTCTCGTCTCTCGCTCTCTCTCTCTCTCTCCTGCTCCTTTCACTATCTCTCTCTACTCTTCTCTACGCTTCTGTTCTCTCTCTCTCTCTCTCTTCTTCTTTACTCTCTCTCTCTTCTCTCTCTCTCACTCCCCCCCCCCCCCCCCCCTCTCTCTACAACTA